TGTGTGACCCGAGAGCCACACTCCGCGCTGTGGGTATACTATCTGCGATCACATACAGAAAGCACATAAAAAGGGTACACTTAATATTCTGATATACCGGGGTATATGCTGTGATATAACGGGAAATATATGTTTTTTTATATCTGAGGTGATGTAACGAGGTCATAGTTCAGGAGGAGATACGTGTGCTATCGGGATGATATGTCAGTTGTGAAGGAGTTATACAAGCAGAACAGACATTATTTGGAGGGAGGTACAAGTTCACACAGTGTTATGGCGTAACATTTTTATTTTTCGAATCATTGCAGCCGAACATGGCAGGAAATTGTATAGCAACGTTTTTGGTAAAAGTGTAAAGTCATATTATATATAGATAAAAAAAACTATAATATATATATATATATAATATATATATATATATATTATATATATATATATACATATACATATATATATATATATATATATATATATATATATATATATATATATATAGAGAGAGAGAGAGAGAGAGAGAGAGAGAGAGAGAGAGAGAGAGAGAGAGAGAGAGAGAGAGAGAGAGAGAGAGAAAGATTATAGTGGGAGAGGGATGATGTTTAACAATAGTTTATATTGCTGCAAAGCCAAGTGCCGAGTGGCCATCAGCACTCCCGCACGAACACGCGCGCATCAGAAAAGAGCCCGAAGGCGCGTCCCCGGCAAGGTCAGCCGCGACGCCAGTGTGCCTTTGAGGCCGACCTTTTGTTCCTCGACGAAAGGCCGAGGATGGAAACGGCTTGCTGCGCGCGCTCTCCCCGGCGCCGAGGGAACTCTCCCGGGCGCCGAGGGAGCTCTCCCGGGCGCCGAGGGAGCTCTCCCGGCGGGGCAGCTCCTGGCCGGCGGCGCGGGAGGCCCCGAGCACAACGCGCGAATTACCGCATGAAGCGAGGCTGCAGGAGGTCAGCCGCGATGGCGAGCCGCACCGCCGCGCACAATGGGGAAAGTCGCCGCTGACACACACGCTGCACACAGTCGCGCACGTGAGCGCGCGCGCGAACTAGCGGCGACGTGTCCATGGCGGCCGTGGTTACGCGTGTACTTGTTTATATTA